GGCTTTGTCAATTTGGATTGGTGGGATGCCATCGGGTAGGGCCGCATCCTGCTACAGGGCGCGCCCACCACGGCCATGATCCCCGACAGCATGGCTGCCGTCGTTAGCCACGTGAAGGTGCGGCTATGCCTAGCGATCGAGCAGGCCCGCCAGGGCAACGATGATCAGGCGTCGCGCACGCTGACGCGGCTGTGGAGGGTGTTCTTATCGTTGGATGGGCTGCTGTTCAGTGAAAATGCGACCCCGACCCCGACGACGCGGCGAGAGCGTCTCCAGGAGCGTTTGCAGTGGATTCATGACGGCCAATGGGACGTCGCCTGGCTCTCCATGGAGGACCAGGCGCGCACCTCGGTCACCGCGAAGGGCCGCGAGGACCACGTCGCGGCCCGCGTTCGCCGTGTCACCGAGCTTGCACGAGCTGGCGAGATGTCTCGGGCGGCGGCGGCAGTGTGGCCCCAGGGTGACATGGCGGATGCAGCGGCGGTCGTGAGGAAGTTCAGCACCGCCCAGCAGCCTGCGGCGCCTCGCCCAGGCGAATGGGGCCCTCCCCCTGGCACTGGGGCCGCCCCGCATGGGCCAGGGGGGGGCCACAGTGGCGGGAGCCGATGTGGCGATGCCGCCAGCCACGCCCCCTCACGAGCTCAACGGCGCGGCAGAGCTCCGCCACCGTGTGGCCAACCACCTCAAGCGTCAGTTTGGCCGCCCCCCACGCCGCGGCGGGGCGGGGCCTGGAGGGGGGCGCTACGAGCACTGGGCCCCGCTCAAGCACGACGAGGACGGGGCGGAGGCGGTGGCCAACACGCTGGCGCGCCTGGCCATCGGCGACCTTCCTCCCGAGGCTCTAGCCGCCCTGATGGCGGCGCGCCTCGCAGGCATCCCCAAGGCAACCCCTGGGGACGTGCGAGTCCTGGGCTGCGGGAATGTCACCCGCTGCATGGTGGGCCGCAGCGCTGCCAAGGTCCACCACAAGGACATGCGGGCGGCGGTGGGGGACCAACAGTTTGGCCTGGCCAAGGGCGGATGTGGTGCCCTCCACCGACGTCTCTGCACGATGGCCAACTCGAGCCCAGGCAAGTGGGTGGTGGCGGTGGACCTCGGGGGTGCCTTCAGCAACATCCCCCGCGACCTCGTGAAGGAGGCCGTGCGCTCCAAGGTGCCCGCTCTGGCGCCGCTGGCGGAGGCCTGGCTCCCTGCTCGCACGCGCCATGTGGCGGGGGGTGGGTCCCAACCTGCCCAGCTGGTCGACCAGATCCGTGGCCTCGACCAGGGCTGCCCGATGAGTCCAGGCTTTTACGCGGTCGGCACCGCGGATGTTCTCAGCGTCGGTCGCATGGCCGTGCGTGCGGTGGACGTCGAGGGGGATTGCCTGGCGTTCTCGGACGACGCGTACTTCGTGGGCACCGCGGCCGCTGTGTTCCGCGGCTTGGATGCCTGGCGAGCCTGCGTCGAAGCCCACGGGATGAAGCTGAAGATGTCCACGACCCAGATCTGGTCCCCAGATCCCCGCGCTGTCCTGCCGCCGGGGTTTGCGGAGTACGCCCAGTACCGCGTCCAGAAGCTCAAGGCGGTGGGGCCCACCCTGGCCTACACAAACCACGACGTGGACGCCGACTGGAGGGGCGTCCCGCTCACGGACTTTGCCGTCCCGGAGGACCTCGACGAGGGCGGCCTCGCGCCGGCTGGCGGTGCCGGGGCCGCCCCGGGCGCCGCCGCGCCACTCCCCTGCGGCGAGGCCTTCCTCCAGAAGCAGGACCGCTACTTCCGAGAGCTCCTGACGCTCCGCACGCATGGGCTGTCGGCCTTTGACGCCTTCCAGGTGATGCGGATTTGGTCGAGGGGCGCCTGCGTCCACATCTAGCGGGCGCCCCCGCTCACGGCGGCGTGGGGCCGCAGGGTGGACGACGGAGTGGTCGCCTTCGTCAACGCCCTTCTGGGGGTCACGGCTGCCCCCCAAGAGCAGATCTTCATGGAGGTCAGCGACGGAGGTCTGGGCTGTGGCAGCGCCGAACAGCGCGGTCCCGCTGCCCTCCTGGCGCCCTGGGAAGCCGGGATCCACGCGGCTGCCCAGGAGCTCCGAGAGACGACAACGATCGGCGTCTTTCGGCGGTGGCCGGGCCTCGGCCGTGCCCTCTCGGCAGCGGACGTTGAGCAGGGACGGCTGGCAGGAGGCCGTCGCCCCCAGAGTGACCGTTGGCAGGGCCTTCTGGAGGGGCGGAGGGGCAAGGGGCAAGGACCAGAAGACGTATACCCAGCACGCACGGGACCACGCCACCAAGACGTTCTTGGCCGCGCTGCCGGTGACGGCGGCGGCGGCGGTGCATAGTGCCTCGGGCAGCTCAGCGGGCGCCTGGTTGGATCACTTCGAGGGGGTTTCGCCCCTCGCCGATCACGCGTTCTGCATTGCGGCCAAGAGGCGCATGCATCTGCCGCTGCTGCAGTCCGAGTGCACGTGCCAGACCCGACTGGCAGCGCCCACTCGCGCGATGGCGCAGGCCGGCCCGGCGTGTGGCCGCACGGTGGACGTCCGTGGCGTTCATGCGCTCAACTGTCCCAGGGGAGGTGGC